TTGAGATAAATTTTGCAAATAAGCAGTGTTGCTACATTTTTTAGTCAAAACAACCGTCTCAAATTCATTTAACCTTCTCTTTTTTTATTTAAAACGTCTTTTCAAAAATTTAACACCCGATTATTACATAAAAACCTTAAGTTAAACTCATATTCACACCCATATTTGCCTTTGCCTAACAATATTTCAAAATATTGAATTTTGGTTGATGGATTAAATGATTTGATGTTAGATCAAAGAGGCAGAGGGTGAAATAGATTTGTCATTTGCTAGAGAAGATGATCGAAGATGGATCTTTGCCGGAGAAGATGACCGGAAGAAAATTACAGTCTTAGCCCCTGAAGACAAAAGGAAAATGACAGTTTTGTTCCTTAACATTTGATTTTTTATTATTATGTATATATATAATTTTAATTTTAGTAGAAAATAATATAAATGTTTAAAATGACTGAAATACTCTTCATTTAATTGGATTTGGTGGAAAACGTTAACGTCGTTACAGGGAGGAACCAAAACTGTTATGAGGTGTCAAACGTGAGGGACAATTTTATTAAATCAAAGTTGAGAAACGAAAACCATTGAAAGTGACAAACTTTAAGGACCAGAAGTGAACTTTACTCTTTTTTAAATTTATTTGTTTGAAAATCAACAATGCATATTTTTAACTGAGATCACATGTAAAGTTGATCATCGAGCTTCAATAAAATTGTCATGGACTTCTTTTTATAATATTTTTGCTTGTTCGATATATCTGTATGTTTACGTTTAATCGTGCCTATTTTTCAGGGCCGTCTGTGGGGGAGGGCGGCATGGGCGCACGAGTATTTTCAGATAATCTGCGGATTAGGTTTCAACGAAATATCTAATGGCTCTTTTGACGGGGTCAATTTTTCTAAAAGCATCTCTATTAGATTCTCTAAGAGAAAGAAAATTGAGATCATGGACCAAATTTTTCTCCAACATATCTATACTATATTATAAAGCGTTTGACGCGAACTCTTAAAAACCATTTTTTATACATGAAGTATTGTTTATTGATGCATATTACTTAAAATTCAAGGTTACAAGTAAATTGTGCGTAAGTACAACTTATTAAAGCTTCATGTTTGAATTCGTGTAACTAACTGCAGGTAAACATAATCAAATAAAGAATAAACATCTCATTTTAAATATAAAAAATTTAAAATATAATTAGGATAATTATTGAGTTCTAACAAAATACTTAATTATCATCTTAAAAAAATATTTTTTTTGATCAAAAATTAATTAGTTCGTTATTAAACTTCAATTAAATTATAATAAAAAATTAAATTAAAGAAATTACACCGAGAACTTTTAAATAGTTAATTTATATCGATTATTTTTTAAAATTTTTTATAATATCTTCAAATTTATATTTTATTTAAAAATAAAAACATTTTATTTTTCTCAAAACCATATAAAATCGTATTATAACATCAATAAACCCAAAATATAAAGTGAAACATTAAAATCAAGATGTATCTCGCTGCATTGTGCGAGTATTCTTCTAGTCTATACTATATTAAAAAGCATTTAATAAAAACTCTTAAAAACCATTTTTTGTACATAAACTACTGTTATTAATGCATGTTACTTAAAACTCAAGATTACAAGTAAATTATGCGTAAGTACAATTTATTAAAACTACATATTTGAATTCGTGTAATTAACTATAGATAAACATAATCAAATACAAGATAAACATCTCATTTTAAATATAAAAAATCTAAAATATAATTAGGATAATTATTGAGTTCTAACAGAATACTTAATTTTATTTTTATAAATATTATATTATTAAAACAAAAATAAATTACTTTCTTATCGAACTTAAATTAAATTATAATAAAAAAGTTAAATTAAAAAAAATTATTTTAAAAATGAAAACTTCAAAATAGTTGATTTGATACTAATATTAATATTTTTTAAAAATTTTTTATGATATTTTCAAATTTACGTTTTATTCAAAAATAAAATCATTATYACTTTCTTAAAAACACATAAAATTGTATTATAACATCGACAGAGATAAATAATAAAATAGAACATTAAATTCGAGATGTATGTCATTGTATTGCATGAGTACCCTTCTAGTTATATTATAAAGCATTTGACAAAAACTCTTAAAAATCATTTTTTATGCGTAAAGTACCGTTTATTAATGTATATTACTTAAAACTCAATATTGCAAGTAAATTGTGCGTAAGTACAACTTGTTGAAGCTCCATATCTGAATTCATGTAACTAACTGCAGATAAACATAATCAAATACATGATAAACATCTCAGTTTAAATATAAAAAATCTAAAATATAATTAGGATACTTATTGAGTGCTAACAGAATACTTAATTATTATTTTTATAAAATGTTATACTATTAAACCAAAAATAAATTATTTCGTTATTAAACTTAAATTAAATTATAATAAAAAATAAATTAAAGAAATTACATAAAAATGAAAATTTTTAAATAGTTGAT